ATTTGTTTCTTTTCATCAGAAATTGCGCTCAAATTAAATGCAAATACAGAAAACGTGCCCAATAAATAAAAAAAATGCGATTAGTATTGCCATAATGCAACCCTGCTGCGAGGTTGCAAAATGTAGACGCGTAAAAAACATACCGTTGAGTGTGACAAATTGTCGTTTTCCCATTTTGTATGGGAAACAACAACACCACAGATTTTACGGTTAGAAAACGTCTTAAAATGTAGACGTCTACATTTTGAGACACTATTTGGAATGAACTGTGAACACCCCAAATGTACATATGTATGTACTAACATATTTACATATCGTCGCCCGTATGCCAGAAAAGTGAATGTGTAAAAATGAAAATTTTGGAAATCAAGTTGAAAAATTTTTTTACCTTTATGCAATTTAAATTGTATGTGGTTTCCATAGTTGCGTTCCAGATGCTTCACGATTTGCAGGATTTGCAGGAAAAGCTGTTTTCTCCATTAATAAACCTTATGGAAGGTGGTCAACTGGAACGGCTTCCTGTAAAAACCTGCAAATCGTGAAGCATCTGGAACGCAACTCATGTATTCTGGGTTTCAGTATAACTTAGAACATCCAAAGGTTAATCAAGTCAATCCAATAACTCAAAACTGATAAATTTGCACATTCATGCTTCTGACATAAAGGTGACGATATGTAAATAGTTGCTCGCATTTAAGCTCTTCTTTGTTGAGTGCGATTTTTTTTAAGTTGCTCGAATAAACGATGAATCATTGATTGACGTAAAAAATTGTGAATGATTTTTTTGAAGAGTTCCCATGTTTACACCATGGTGGAATTATACCATGGTTTACACATCAGTTGGGAATGAAGTTTTATTTATGCCATTAGGAACGCAAAACTTCACTCCAAGCTTGGCTTGCCAACCGTGGAGAGGGCAGCTCTTCAAATCAACAAAATGTTTATATATTTTTGTCAGTGTTCATGTTTATGTACTTATATGTTTTTTCTTCCAAATTACATAGGAAAGAAAATGAATGACCAATATAATACACCTGAATATTTTAATTTTTCAAGTGTCCTCCCCAAAAGTTGGCAAGTCTACTCCCAACTGATATTGTAAACGCTTTCTTATACTTTCCAGTACTTAACTAGCGAAGCGTCTGCAATTTTTAAGCTAACGTTTATTCAAGCAAACTTTTATCAAATGTACTTTATTTTTATTTTACTGTTTGGGTGTACAACCAACTTAATCGTAAGATGTTTCGTGCATATACTTATATATTCTTTTTTTTTGCAACAGGAAATGGGATTTTTTTATAGATCTACTTATTCGCTACATTGTACTAAACAACTTTTTTTTACATAGAAGTCTCAGATGAAACTTAAATACACCATAGGCTTATTCATATGTATGCATGCATATAGCACACCTTCTTCAAAATAGGCACAACTAAAAAATATTTTGATTTTACCTAACTTAATTCGTTGGACTTTTCTCCGATTAGTGCAAATATTTTTTCTTCATGTATTCTCTAACTAGGAAGCTTCATTTATACCCGTTTTCTTTACGAACCACAAGCTGTTATTTTTTACAGTTCTGAATTTGAGTTGTACCTTTAAATAAAAATTCACTGCCGAATCTTTTACTGAGCTTTTTAAATTACAAAATATATACATTTTTTACATACCATCTGAAATGTAAAACGCCGTAAATAACAAAAACTTCAAGATTATTTTATTGATTAATTATGATGCATTTCATCGAATTATAAATCCATCCATCGTTTTATACAAAAAAAAAATTTATTAGTTACGATTTTTCGCATTTCAGGTGTCGAATATGTACCTATGTACATACACCCATTTATTTTGACCAGTTTTGGCTATATTTCATTTGTTTATTTAATATTTTTTAATAAAAGTGCAGCTTGTTATTTAACGGAAACCACATAAATTCATATATCAAGTTTTGTGTAAAAATTATAAAAATTCTGCAAAGTTGCATCTAAATTTTCAACTTTTTAATCCTATTTTTCAGAACTTATTTTAAAATAAATATTAAATAAATAAACAAAAGGAATATAGTCAAACTTGGCCATGGGTGTAAATACGGTATAAATTTACATACTAACTAGTAAATATGTACATACATATACATAAATAGTAACTACAAATGCAACAGTGTTTAACTTTTATAAAGTACACATCATCACAAACTGGATTTCGTTTTCGACCAATCCGAATGTTCTTTCCCATGTTCGGGCTAACTTCTATTAAGTACTGCATACTTATGTAGGTACTTATAGTAAGGCATTCCTGTAAATTTTCGCTTGCGAAAAAGTATACCTGTTATCTAATATCTACCCACGTCACTTAAAGGCTCAGCATTGGCCAAAAGATGACTTGAAGTCTGTGCGTTATTGTCTCGGGTAAAATCAGGATTTGAGTTAGGCGGTGGGAAACATTCTTCCGGAAGAAACCTATTAAAAGGAGAAGTAAATGTTTTTTTTTTTCAACCTACCAAATTCCTAGTACATAATTGTACTTACCTATGAATTACGGGTGATAAGAGTTCAGCATCCAACTTTTTCACCACAGTTGGTCCGGTGAGAAAAGACACCACAGTGCCGACCAGCAGCGTTGACGAAACGCCAATTACAGTAATCCAATGAAATGATAAACGATACAATGGAAACACTTCCGTTTCATCACCATAATCTGTTTCCGGTACGGTGATATTAACAAGGCATTCCGATACGGAAACCTCCAATTTCTGCGGTCCTATACGTCCCGCTGCTATCACAGCCTGTGAACCTAATGATACCCAACCGGACATTAGCGCGCCAGCTACTGCGCCCGCTAAGGCACCCGTCGTATTACTCCATGGCACCAACATGCCAAGCGTGAAAATACCAAAAGTTGTGCCACCCGCAATTGCAGTCACCGAAGTGGCCACACTTAGTATGCCGCTCAACTTTTCGAGCACGAACACTAACGCCATTGCAACGGTACCCAAAAAGACTATTACACTTTTAACGATCACGTTTGTTGCACGTTCGCTGAGCTTCACTTTAAAGCTGCCACGCACGATATCCTGTAGAAACACCAAAGCGGTTGAATTGAGTACGACGGAGAGCGAACTTAACGCTGCGCCAAATACGCCGGCAATAAAGAGACCGGGTATGCCTTGTAGGTGACCAACAGTTTGCATTACATAAATCGGTAGTAACTGATCATCGTTCTGTTGTGGGGAAAAATTTAAACTGCGATATGTTAGTATACATTGTTTATTTATGTATGTGTTACTCTTGAAGCTTACCGATATGAGTCCAGCTGTAAGTGGATCACAATTTTGATAGAAATCAAAAACTAGTAAGCCGGCAAAACAGCAAACGGAAATGAAAAGCACGACACCCAAAGTAAAGATTATAATCGAACTTTGACCCCTTTTCAAAGTCGTCAGCGACATGTAGCGTTGAACCATTGTCTGATTAACACTATTGAAAGCGGTCCAATAGAAGAATCCACCAATCAAAACAGCCCAAAATGTTTGTCTTTCATACGGTGATGGATTTACGCTGAAAGTAGTAAGAGAAGAGGTAAATAAAATCAGACAAAAGAGATTGCCAACGTTCAGCCGGATAAATTCACTTTAAAAAGTAAGTTTAGAGGTCCATGAATCATATGGTCGGCGATATTATGCTCCAAAACTCCAAAGTGGTCCTCCTAAATATTCAGATGATCTTAATATTGTGTCTTTGTTGACCAGTTACGGAGTTACAATTCAGCTTTTCCGTTAATTATTCGTGATCTACTGAGAAAAACTAATACTTTCTTCTTTCGTTGTTGTAGCGACGGGTTTTTTTTCAATCGTTGTAGTCAAACTCAAGAAACGTGCCGTTTTGACGGGCTCGGACAGAAGGGAGGGTTGGGTTGAGCGGTCATGTAAAGAGGTGGTTGGTGTCGTGGCGGAATCTCCACATGCTGGACAATCATTAGGGATGTTTTGGCAATATGCCAGAGAAGAGTCTACCCGGAGTGACCTAAAAACCTGCTCAGGTCTTAGGTCTCACAATGCACCAGTGCCTCTACACCTTTTGCAATTTTGTCCGAGTTCGATAAAGTACGCGAATCGTTTCTATTCTGTGTCAACTGCCGCCAATTAGAAATGCCAAGGAAAACCCCAAAATCTCGTCTTTCCACCGCAGAGAAAGTCTTCCGCCTTGACGATGTTGTTATGGTTCAGGCTTCTGCGCCATATACCAGCTCAAATATAATGAGTGACGAATAGAGGGGACTGTAGTTCTCAATTGCCTACTCAGACTAAAGTAGCACATGTTGACACCAGAGTGATTCTCCGTTGGATTTCAAGGCTGACATTATTTTCGATGTTAATGCTGGTTCTTAAATGATGTAAGAGCCGAGCTGCAGATGCAGTCGACTGTTTGCTTTATGACCCGCATTCGCTTTGCTTGCATATCCAACTTGGAAAAGGCAAAATAAACGATGCAATAGTTGAGGTTTCTGTTGTAGCGCCTACTAAACCCTGCCTAAAACAGCAAATCTTTTAATCGGAGGGAGAAGGATATTCATTCAGTGGGTTTGATAGGTCGGGGTCTACTCTGGATGAGTATGAGTTTAACCTACTGCCTATAATATTCAGAACGTAATTGTGCTACAGTAGCGCGGGTCCCGCAAGGCAGCTCAAGTCTTGGATCTCGTCTTTGAATGTGTCTTCCGACGTGCCTATGAGAAAGTTAGCAAGTACCTATTCGGCTGTCCGCGTCGGTAGCAGACCACCAGCTGCTACCTTAATTGTGCTCCTTACTGCTCTGATCTTATCCACTAGCTATCTGGAGTACTGTATTTTGAAACGTGTGTAGCTTCACCCAATGCGAGCTACTATTCCCCGAAGACCATTTTCTCGCAGCATAATTTAGAACCGAACGGCCTAATGTTTTGTACTGGCATCGCCAACAATGTTTCTTTGACTTTGGCCCAGGTGTTGCCGGCGAGCGACTTAAGGACTTTGTTGCAGCTCTATAATCTGACTGCAATTACCGTTGTGTGCGCATAGAAAGAGAGGTAGTTGACAAAAGTTTCGGATTGTCCGTGTTGGGGTTTGTGTGCCACAGATTTGAATCCTTAGCAGCTATCAGATCACTTTTATCCAGCGAGTGAATATGGTTCCTTGGATTTCGAGGGAGGCAAACTAAGCTCTTGCGGTGAAGAAACGAGTTAGTTGGGAGAGATGGTAATTTACTTTCGAACACAGGCCTTCAATGGTCGCGTCAATATCGAATAATCATTAGCGTAGGAGATCAGCCAAACTCCCTCTAGTGACTGGGGAAGCTCTGAAATGAGATCGATGATGTCGATTTCATCGGCATTAGGCTAGTTATTGTAAACTCTTATGATCTTCCCTAGCATTAGATTAAAGAAATTACACGATAGAGTCTCTGAAACCTATTTTCGTATGGAAGTGCTCGAAGGGGACCTTTGCCATTAATCGTAAAAAGCCGTATTAGTATTGTGTCTTTTTGCACTCACAGACTTACTATATACACTTACATGGATTCGGTTTGGAAGATATGAGTCAGGTCGTTTCCCTAACATGGTTGCGTAGATTTCAAACTAACTGTTTCTCGTAGGCGAGGCCACATTGAAAATAGAAGGAAAATACCCTTGCCTTTCAATTTCGAAGTTAAAAAGCTTTTAATCAATTTCTTTGAGAGCACAGAGTAACTATACTTCACCATGACACATTTAGCAAAACTTTCAATTAGAAGTAGTTTTTATATGCTTTGAGCAAAATTATATATGTATTCGCGAGTAATAGTTAACTTACAAGCAAATTGAACTTACTTGAAGAAAATAAGACGTCCTCCTTCGGAAGCATTCTTAAATACTGGACCAGGTCCCCCAGCCGCTATCGTTCCCAGTATGACCACAACAACTAAAGCTATAAACATCACCAATGTTTGCCATGCATCTGTGTGGACAACGGCCTTTATGCCGCCCTAAAAGCGAAAAATAATTATATTTACTACACACATACATACATAGATACTATGCGCGATTTTTTCCACCAGAACTATAGAATTTATTATATTTAAAAACTCCCGCAGAATATTTTGGAAATTTTTTAAGATTTATGGGATATTCCGAATATTTCCAAATCGGTCAAGCTCACATAAATCTTAATATTTTGCCGAAATATTTTTGCGAATGTCTTAAAATATAATAGATTTTATAATACCGATGGAAAACAGTACTAATTTTTTTGTTTATGAAGACTGATGCACCCTAATGCATGCATATATCATATTTGCGATAAAAAGGTGTTTTCGTTTCGTTTTCGTTAGGCAATTTTAAAATAATGTTCATATCGTTACCTAAAAGTAAAAAGGTGGCAAGTCTGTTTTTTTTTTTTTGGAATTGTTCAGGAGGCGAAAAATAGATGAAGTTTCGTATTATCTGTCTTTCGTCATCAAAAACTAAATTAAAAAAAAAAAGTGGTCTAGGCACCTTTTCTCCTTTAGGTAGCGATATGCATATTAAGGTTGATTAAAATTTTTCCCAAAGCCACTGCATTTTAAATTTTAGTGTAAACTAGATCGCCCTCACCCGCTTCGCTGAGTATATGAAATTTCTACGTGTTACATTGAGTAAAATTTATTTCAAGAAAACTCAATTAAAAAAAGGAGGTTTAAAATTTGTTTAACCATCTTCAAAATATTTCCAAACAAAAACTTTCTTAAACTTCTTACTTGTCATACTTTTTCAATTAACTCAATTTGAGATTTTAAACAGATGGAAACCTCTTACATGTAGTTTTGAAACGAAGCCCATTAAAAATCATTTCGAGTGATGCCCATATTTTAATAATTCATTTAATTTATTGAATAGTTTGAATTTAACCTTTTAAACAGTTGGCAACCTTTTTAAACCTCTTTCGTCTGAAACTCATATTCAAAATCATTTCGATTCATACCAATCTTCCATAATCTATAATCTATAATCTAAAATAATATATATTTTGAAAGGCGTTTTTATGTGTTCGTAAAGCTCGAGAACGACTGAACCGATTATTTTGAAATTTCGGACACCTGCTTCAGACGTCCCAAGGATGGTTATAGGCTGAAAAAATTTCGATATATAAAGGGGGCGTGCCACCTACTCTACAAACCGATTTTTTCTTACTGTATATCACTGGAAGTGTTCATGGTAGAATACCGGAACTTGGTACGGCAATATATCAAATCAATCTTATAGTCATGGAGAAAAATGGTGAGTGAAATCCTTCTAAATGCCCGGACCGATTTTAACGAAGTTTTTTGTGTACTTTTGAGTGTAGTTTCACAATTTCACCCGCAAGTTGGTGCTGGAGTTAAGTTATTACTAAAAATCTTATTTATGATCCACTTTGGCTAATATTCAAAATATGTATTGACAATACTATTGCCACAAAAGGCTGCCAAGTGGCGCTGGAGTCATTACGAATAATCGCCAAGAAAAGGTGCCGTGGATTTCAGATTAAATCGACCTGTTGCACCAATGAGTATATCGAACGCTTGTGTGTTACAATTGGCCCAATGGATGTGATTTGCCAGTATTATTATGCGTTAAAGCTTCATTCCGAGAAACCAGGGCTGAGTTGTGCAGGGGTAAATCTCAAATCACCACCGATAAATCAACTGCCAGAACCATTGCGCGCCTTTTAATGTAAAATTTAATTTTTGAATTTAATTTTTTAAAAGGTGGCAACCCTTGCGAAAGACTTAAATATTATTCAAAACTTTTAAACTAAAGGTTCCTTAACAATATTTCGTTAGACAACCATATTTTAATTCTTGAGATAGCTTGCGTATAATTAATTTAAATTTAACTTTTCAAACAGGTGGCAACCCTTTTCAAAATATATTCGAACTACAGCTTTTTTAAGCCCCTTGACATCCATTTTTTAATATAATTTTCAAATAAATAACTCCCTAAATTACAGTTGAATTTGATTTTTTAAAAGGTGGCAGCTCTCATCCATGAGTAGATAATGATTTTAAATATCTCCATACCAAGTTCTAGTAATCTATCAAAAATATTTCCTGAGAAATGCAGTATGAAATAGTCCGTTTGTATGGGAGGTGCCACGTCCCCTTGTCTAATCGAGATTAAATTTATCCTATATTTTAAGTTGGGCTAAATGACAGCAGTGTTCAAAATTGCATGATGATCGGTTGAGTAGTTAAAGCGTGAAAGCGTAGCAAACAAACAAACTCACTTTCGGATTTATAATATTAGTAAGGATAAGGATAAGGATTGAAGGTGTGTGGTTGTAGTTGACAATGCAAAGTCGTATTCATTTATTGCGTCATCGGGTGTCTCCCAAGGATATATGTAATACATCTATATTGGCAGTAAGCTAACCATGGGCGTAGTCAGAACGAAATTTAGGGGGGGACCATACAAAATAAAAACCACAAAACCAATAACTTACTTATGTACTAAAAAATTGTTTATTATAGCTTAAAATTATTGTAACCAATAAAGGTAAATATGTTGTAAAAAAACAAATAAACAGAAGTTCACAAAAGTTGATATAAAACTATTCGTCGATTTAAATTGTTAACTTTTTACTGAGCATGTTTATTTTACGAGGAGGAAGCATCGAAAGCCTAACCCCTTCCGTGTGAGATTTTAACCCAAACTAAAATTCCTACCGTCATGTACCGTTCCCCTCCCGGTACCACCGTCAAGGATTTCGTCGGGATTATAACACTGTGTGACTGATAAGGTTATAGATCTATTCTCTTCCTCTTCTTCCTTTTTGGCGCTGTAACCGCCAAAGCGATTTTGACCAACTGACGCCTATTAGAAATGCCAAGTGAAGCCAGAATACTTTCAGAGCTGGGACGTCGGTGTCCATTCGAACGACATGGTCAAGCCAGTTGGGCCGCTGTATTTTAATACGCCACATACCAGCACGGGCATGATGAGTGATTTATAGTGTGGTTTTCGTACGTCGAGAGAGGACTTTACTACTGAATTGCCTACTCAGTCCAAAGCAGCACTTGTAGGCAAGAGCGATTCTGCGTTGGATTTCCATGCTGACATTATTACCGGTGTTAATGCTGGTTCCCAAGTAAACGAAATTCTCTACTTCCTCGAAATTATAACTGTCAAAAGTGACGTGGGTGCCAGGCGCGAATGTGCTGATTGTTTGTTTGATGACAGGAGATACTTCGTCTTGTCGTCGTTTACCACCAGACCCATTCGCTTTGCTTCCTTGTCCAACTTGGAAAAGTCAGGACAGACTTTGCGGTTTTTCTTACCGATGATGTCAGTGTCATCGGCATAAGCCAGCAATTGTACGCTCTTGTAGTAAATTGTTCCTAAGCGGTTCAGTTCTGAAGATCTTATTATCTTCATCATCAGATTAAAGAAGTCACATGAAAGAGAGCCGCCCTGTCTGAAACCCCGTCTGGTGGCGAAAGGCAACAGAGCAGAGCTGGTGGTATTACTCAACGTCATTTTTCACAGGCTTTTGACAGACATAGCGGCATATAGGAAACTCCTTTAAGTGCTGTCGCAAGCGGCTTTAAAGTCGACAAATAGGTGGTGAGTGCGGATCATTTTCTCGCGGGTCTTTTCCAAGATTCGGCGTACTGTGAATACCTGGTCTATGGTAGACAATACATTCGATAAGACCTTGCAACCTATGCTTAGAAGGCTGATCCCGCGGTAGTTGGTACGCATGGCGGGGTCGCCTTTCTTGTGGATTGGGCAGAGCGCACTTGAATTCCAGTCGTCGGGCATGCACCTTATTACCTCCTTGCCATCGTAATTAAATAGCTCAGCTGACAGGCCGTCAGCTCAAACAGCTTTGGCACTTTTCTTCATAGTCAGGCGCTGGGATATCGACTCCATCGTCATCGACTGGGACCTCGAAGTGCTTCCGCCATTCAAAAGGGTCGAAAAGTGTTCCCTCCATAATCTGAGTACGTTCTGGACATCGGTCACTAGGTCGCCATGGTTGTTCATACAAGAGTCTTGAAACCTTACGTAAGTCGCTCAACTCTCTGCTAAAAATTTCGGGTGGTTTTTCTGTCGGACAGCATTTCAAGCATTTTCTCACACTCGTGATCGTACCAGTAATTAGCGGGAAATGTGGTTCCACTGCTCGCGCAAGTCGGTTTGTTGAAGAGTGCTCTCTCACAGCACGTGTGAGGGTCGAGCGCCGAATCCATTTGCCGTCTGTTTTGATTGCAGCTTTTCGACGTTGAACTTTTCCTGCATTTTTGGGGGCCCTTTTTTGCTTCTCCGAGGTTAGGTCGTATATTGGAGGCATCAATATAGTAGTGCGAGTCTAAAACATGGAAGCATGCCTTCCGTCTATCACAACATGCTCCATTTGGTTTCCCGTTTTTCGATGTGGAGACATTCATGTAGCTTGAGAGAACGAAAAATGACACTGAAGATGGAACAACGCCGAAACCGGTTTGTCTCCAAACCAAATTTGAAAAGGGACGACGGAAAATCGTTCCACAATACATCACACTCCTACCCTGTCGGAAACACCAACAACGAAAATGAGAATAGCTTGATGGATGTTTTTATGCTAGAACCCAGTAATACATACTGCCAAGCTTCGGGCCCCGGCGAAGTGGATCATCCTCAGCCCGCCGTTTCTATGTGGAGGCTGATTTTTTCGACACTGGCACCAAAAATCCCTTCGTTGCCCACCTTGGCATTTAAATGGCCAAGCACGATTTTTATACGTGTCGGGGGCAGCGCTAATATATACGCTCTAAGCTAAGAGAGCCTTGGATGCCTCGTCCTTCTCTTCCATCGGGGCATTGGCACATGTGAATGAGATGTTGAAGAATCTCGCTTTGATGCGGATTGTGGCTAGACTTTCGTCCACTAGAGTGAACGCCGGTCTCTCTCCCACCACAAATCCAACACCGAATTGCACTCCTTTACGTGGCAACTGTAGTAGTCGTCGCAAGGCTCACGCTTACCT